TAAAATACCGATTTCCACATTGTAGGGTCATTTTGGTAATTTCATAGGGATTAGATTTAAAATAACACTTAGATACCAATTCCCAAGACATTGGGTCATTTCGGTAATTTTATAAAGCAAATACATAAAGTATTGCTAAAATACTGATTTCCAAATATATGGTCGTTTTGGTAATTTTATAAAAATAATAATATAAAAATGAAGTTTATAGACCAATCCCCAAGACATAGGGTCATTTCGGATATTTATGAAGCAAATACATTAAGTATCGCTAAAATAACGATTTTCACATTGTAGGGTCATTTTGGCAACTAAACGGAATAAATAATCGAAATGGGGTCAAAGTTTGCATTTTAAACAAACTTAATGAAAGTCTCATAAAATTATTATGCAGAAAATTATTTCTGGAAATTCAAGAGACTAAATGCTAATTTTTGAAACTTAAATATGTAATGTATATTAACAATAACAGTGAATAATAAAAATAAAACATATAATTAGCTTGCCGGTTAACGCTTCGAGGCTCCTTGGTTGAGGTCATGGATAAGAGTCTTGCCCTCACCATGCGCCCTTATTCCATTTTTAAAAGGCTAAACGGGCGTGGATCCTAGGTCGGGCCGACCTGGTCTGTGACCCATGTGAAAACAGATGAAACAACAAGGAAACTGCACAGCCATTTCTGCACGTTTTTGAAGCTTTTTGAGCTTGAAATGGCTCATTTCTTGACCATTTTTCTTCATTCTTTTTGCGCCAAACTCTTGGTAATATTTTTACCAACACTTTGACATAAAGAACACAAATTTTTATCAAGAAATGAGTTCCATTTACTTTTTTTTGAACGGCTTCGCCTCAGCGGAAATGAGTTTCATTTACTCATTTAAAGTTTGTTTTAAAAACTAAAACTTAACAATTTAAAAACATAAAAATCGAACAACGAAAACACAAATATGATACATGAGGCTACTGGGGTTTGATAGAGTACTTAAAAACGAAACTATAGACATAAAAATCAAGAGATTTGTTAAGAATCTCACCCAAAATTGGTGAAAAACCAAGATTTTGATTTCGAACTTCAAACTCAGATTTCTCTCTCAAAACTAAACGATTTTTTGAGCTATTTGAACCAAAACGTTCCTAAGCCAGAGCTCTACAATTTATATGCCAAGAGTTTTGACTTATTAGTTGAAGAAATCGGACAAATCGCGAGTTTTAGGCTGATGGGTCGTTTTCTCAAACAATTATGTACTTTTGGCAAAACAGGTCCCTCATCTTTGAAAAAGATGACATTCGGCTCCCTCAAGTTTCTGACATTTACCATCAGACCTCTCCTGACATAATATCTTACATTTTTGGTCCATTAATTAAAAAAACACTTTTATTTTATTTACTTTTTCTTTTTGTCTTTCTTTTCATAATTTACTTACAAGATTTCTACAATTATTTCCTTAGTTTATTACGTAAATATTTAAACACTTCAAATAAAATTAAAAAAATATTTAAAGGCTTATATAATATTATTTATATAAAAAAAGATTGGGTTTTACACTATATACATTAGCCTATCTAGAAAAAAAAATCACAGGGGCCAGGGCCCCTAAAGGCCCATTAGGCCGTCCGCCCCGCCCCTGTATGTCCTAAAACTCAACAAAAACCAATAGCACCCCCAACATGACTCGACCATAATATGGATGAAGGATGCAATGTAAGTTACGCTAAAAATGTACAATTAATTCAAGTGAAACTAAAGTGCAAAACTACCAACTCGATACTAAAAATATGTGCAATAAAATGACCTAATAGTTAATCCTTGAATAATCATAGAATATGTATGTACAAGCCTACTAATTGTATGCTCGTGGCGTGTACTGTGTACGATGTAATGGTGTGATTAGTTTTATTATAAAGCGAAAACTAGAAATCAATGTAATTTTTTTATTAAAAGGAAAATTCAAATTTTTTGTTTGAATAAAATATAAATTACAAACGATGATTGAATATATCTATCAATTAAATTTTCTGACTCGGTGTTACCCATTGAAAATTCAAAATTTTTTATTAAATTTTCTAACTCGGTGTTACCCGTTGTTGAAAATGTCCTAGTATCCTTCTAAAATCTATCAGTTTTACTCTCAACCGCTCAATGACATTCTGCTGCAATGATTTGTATACGACTCCCTCGATCTCCTTTGTTAGTGGTATGCCAACATAGACAACACTGATAAGTGTTTTTCAAACAATGTTTTGCTGTTAACGACTTTATATGAGACTTGTCAGACCTTCAACACAGCTACAAGCTTCATTGATTTACCGCAATATGAAAACCAATCGTGGGTTTTATCATTAATTAAGTTAGCGGTGATGGGATAAATTATTAGCTTGAGAAAAATTCCTTTTTCGAATACCGCTTCAGATAAAACTTATGAGATATGGATACAAATAGTTTTATAATATGGTATTTAGGTTATTCAATATTTTAATCCAATTGTATAACAACATTATATATGAACCAATTCATCAATCTATTCGATATATTTGATTTTAATTCTTGGTCAAATTTTATTAAATTCCAATTCGTTTGATAAATTCAGTTTATTTCAAATCAATTTATTTGAAACAACATGCCATCCAAGGGGTTATACGAGTAATTTAGAGTATATATTAACATATTTTTTAGAATAGGAAAAATTAGCATTTCTTGTAAAACCAAAAAAAAAATCAAGAAATTTGGAAATAAATACTCATAGATTTTTTGATGAAAAATGTAACAACCCAATATCACATTTATATATAATCATGTATTCCAAATATAAAAAAATATATAAATATACACATTAGGTCTCAAATATACAAAAGCTATATTATAAAATAGCTAATAATTTTTTCCACAAAATCTTTGTACAACATATGAATACATATCAAGTATTCAGATACAAAAGATGATTATGCTAGCTCAAAAATCCACACAAGCATAATATAACACTTCACAATTTCCCCTTCCCCTCCCTTTGTCCTCTGGTCAGTAAGTTTCTTAGAAGGTAAGAGTTATCTCACACAAGAGAAAATTATGGGTTATTTTGCTACTAAAAGAGAACCAATGTAGAGGAAGAATCAATAAGAGATCAATGGTAGAGACGCTAATCAAGGTTTTATGGATAAATAGGCAAATGATGATCACTAAGAATGTGAAAGAGACAAATGATTCGTTGAAATACAATAAAAATAAATAATGAAAGAGACATATAATCTCCAAGCTTAAGGAATGGTTGCTTGAACACTTAAATATCATCTTGTGATATGTAGTGGAATCTCAATGAAAGATGATGTTAATTCCAGATTCAAGTTCCGAAATATAAATTATGAATAGAGATCAAGAAAACTTCAAGAATGTCATCATGTATATTCTAGTGAGAGAAATATTACATTGAGAGCTTTATGAAATATGAGCATTTTACTTCTTACGTGTTTAATAACAAATCTTTTTATATCACAAGGGTATTTACACACAAACTCTTGTAAACTTGAATATTACAAAATGGACCCAAACAGATGAAAAGTCAAACAATTGATAATAATTCTTTTTCCTTCTTTTCTTGCTATACAAAAAAATATGTTAAGATTAAAAGTTTATGCAATATGACATATATATATATATATATATATATATATATATATAGAGGAGCGATCAAATGAAAACCACTCCAATTTGTAAAAACCGTAAAAACTACTCTCATCCGTCGTTAATCTTATGAAATTTTAATGAAATTGTTAATCTTGTGAAATTGTTTCATATAATACTTTTTTGATGAAGTTGTTTCACATATGGTTATGAAATTGTTTCATATACTACTTAATGAAACTGTTTCATGTATTTCTCTAAAATTAAAATAATAAAGATGGTAATATCCATTATTAACATCATCAACAATAAAAATGATTAATCAACCTCTCATAATTACAAAAAAATGAACAAAATGAAAAAATTATGATTGGTAGAATGAGGTTTTTACAGTTTTTACAAATTGAGTGATTTTCATTTGATCGCTTCCCTATATATATGAAACATTAGCGGAAACATCTAGTAGGGAAAATTTATTGATTATTCAGGAACATGCCACAACTAATAGGAACAACAAATAGATCGTCAAACAAATAATGATAGTCAACAAAAGCAGTTACTCAAACAACATAAACAAATACTTGAGGGCTCCCTAATGATAGCTTACAAGTTGAAGTTATAACAACTGAGTTCCTCCAAAGGAAATCAGGATCAAAATTCGCCAACTTGTGTTCGATCAAAATAGCAGCCCGAGGGACCTCCTGGAGGTAAAAGAGCCAGCATAACTGAGCCTTGTGCTCCCTCTTCCAACATCATTGTACCTGTGTGCCAATTCGAGTCGGTGTCAACGTATCCAGGGTGTACGCAGTTGATACACATATCTGGGTATGTCTTTGCAAGAACTCTAGTATAGGCATTGAGCATGGCCTTCGACACACTATAAGCTGGTAGCATCTTTGACCATCCGTTAGCTTCAAGTTCATCGTTACTTAAATCTTCTAAAAACTTCTCAACAAACCCGTCTATCTTCTTTTCGCTCAAATACTCTACATCTCCAAGTTCCTTTCTTACTTGTTCATTTGGAATCCTCTGCATGAGAATAAATTATTTTATCAGAACCAATTGATTTTTATGTAAAGATCACACCAAATAAAAGATAACTAGACCAAACCAACCCAAATACTTGTCTTATTATTTTCAATAATCCAAACAAAAAAATGCGGGAGAGAGAAAAAAAAATGCAGGGTCATTTGTGACTACTCATAGGGCAGTATGAATGTTCCCACTATATCCCAGTCGGAGGTGCAATCAGTGGAGGGTAAGATGTATGTAGACTTAACCTCTACTTCAAATGTATAACGATTGTTTCCATGAAGACCATCAACATGTGGAAAGTGTGTGAGAGAGAAAAACATGTATGCTAAATTTTGAGAAGTTGGATATAAGTAAGCGATAGCAAAATGACACCTACCCATAATTCACCTTGGAGGGAAGAGACATTTACGATCCTAGCACCAKAAGTGGAACGCTGTAGRAGTGGAAGGAGTGCCCGTATTACGTTCTTCACACCGTAGTAATTTGTGTCGAGGCATTCTTTTGCCTTGTCGTATGTGGTTTTAATCACCCCTTGAACAATGTTCATGGCCCTGCCTGAGAGCTAGAACGAAATAGAATTTTATCAGGTTATATAATATATCCCTTCCGTCCCARATTAAATGTCCACAGTGAAAAACGCACACAGTAAAGAGTAACTATTTACGGTAAGAATTTTTCAATCTCATAATTAAGGGTAAAACTGGAAAGTAGGCACTTAYTTTGGAAAATGTCCACTTATTTTGAAATAAACTAAAATAGAAATCTCRACATTTATTTTGAGASGAGTATGACCTTGAACTCAAATTGAGGTAATGCAAATATGGCTTACTTACCCAAGATGCTGGATCTATATTTAGAGCCCTTAGACCATCTTCATCAACCAGCACTCCAGAGACTCCAGCATTATTCACCTTTATAATTTAAATCAACAAATAATTAGAAAAAAGAAGGGTCTAAAAAGAGTAAATATTCTCCTCAAGTTCCTGAAAAGAGATGAGGTGTTTGCTTGCCAAGATATCAAGTCTTCCAAATTGGGTTTGTATGAAATTGGCCAAAGCTTCTATGCTCTGAGGGTCTTGTACATCCAGCTGATGGTACAGCACATTCGATAAGCCAAGTCCGTGGAGCAAAGACACAGCCTCCGTACCCCKCTTCTCATTTCGGGCTGTCAACAAGACTRTCACACCCGAAGCTGCGAGCTGCCTAACCGTCTCAAACCCAATACCCTTGTTTGCTCCAGTCACAACTGCATACCTAAAACACCACATTCAACCACTCAGAAGKACAAAAAAGAATGATCGACAAAATAAGAAGAAAAAAAGGTTCTGCAAAGGGTTATTAGCCCARCAGTATATCCGGACTWCCAGCTGAATCTAGTCTCTCTAGAGATCAAGGGTTCAATGTATGCAAGTTTTTCCATATATAAATAATATACACTTCAAACAATAGATGTACCATACCTCAATGTTTCTGTGATGTTATTTGAACTAAAATCTGAGTTCTCTGTGGATTGGCTTCCATTCGTCATTACTGTTGCTACTCTTTGAGTTCTCTTCAGGTTACCCTTAGATGTGCTACAATTGCTGTAAGGAGATGCAAGGATATGAGCCACACAAGTTGGTCTAAAGTGCTATGACTAGTATAAAAACTGTCAGTTTTTGTTCATATGTTTCTGGCCTTAGTTTAATGAAAGACATAACACATGTATACACCCACATACATTTATACAAAATATTTGTAAGATTTAGGTATCTTTATGATAACAATTTAAAAAAAAAAGATGCTTGGAATAATACCAATATGCAGCCTAAGGAACAGCTTCAAGTTACCAAAAAAATTTCTATTGCATTGGAATGAACACATTATTTAACACCATCAATGAGAGAAGTGAAAGTGAAATCCTCATATTCATCGATCATACTTCACCCATTTGATGTTTCTGTTCCGATTTGATTGTTGCTCAACTTTAATAATTCTATCAACTCCGGATCCCTGTTGCATTGCGCTATGCCGTTTGCAGAACAAGGGATTCAAATCCAAAACTAATCAACAGAAACAGAGTTGCAAAAATCAAGTAAAAATATCTCGGAGAGTGACCTGAAGAATAGATTTTTGGAGGTAATCCTAAAATGGATGGATCTCCAAGAAAGCGTTTGATCCGTGCAGCATATTGCCTTCAAGGTGTTTGTGAAAATGTTTGACTGTACCAAGAATCATCCTTTTTTACTCCTAATGGTTAATGATGCGTTTTACATTTATACGACAACGTATGGCAATGACACTAATTCCTCTGTTTATTTTTTACCTTTATATTTTTCATTTATGCTTATCGAAATAAAGAATGATTAATAAAAGACCGCTAATAAAATAACTACGACACTATAATAAACCGATCACTATGGCATAACAATAAGGTGGAAGTAATAGGATTATTTAAGCATCTCTTTTAAGATCGAAGAAAACTGTTCCAATTAGACTGGTCGACTACTTCTGTAATTCGTGACTCTACTGTAAGCATTAAAATTAGATAAACATATTTCCTGGTTCTTATTTTTGTTGGGATTTCATTGTCCCATACCCAAAAGAAAAGTTTGTGTGGCTTATATTTCGTTTATCATATCTCTTCTCAAAATGGCTGACTTACAAGTTGGATTTTGCACTTACTAAAAGTTAAGACGGGTCTTGGGTCTTGGGATATGAGAAGTGAACTCCTACTACTTTACAATATGCATCAAGTTTTCATCAAGATTATCGAGTTAGTTATTATTTTCTTTTTGTTTTTCGATTATATATATATATATATATATATATATAT